AGATTGCTTGGGATAAATTTGCAGAGTGGGGATATGAGGTTGGCTTAGCTTTTAATGTCGTTAGAACACCAAGCTTTCAGGCTTTATTCATGCAGTTGGAGATTACGAAAGAGGTAAATAGTTCTATAATAGCCTTTATTTTTAGTCCAATAAACTGAAATTTTATTCTTTATTTCTTATCATTCCTTTTCAAGGTATGCCAGCACCCAGCTATCATCAATATCGCCATACTCTGTTAAACAAGCAGCTTATCAAAACAAAACAAAAATGTTGAATCATTCAGAGCGCACTGGAAGACATATGGATGCTCTATTGTGTCAGATTTTTGGACATATGGTAAAGGAAGGGCATTGATCAACTTTTTGGTAAACTGTCCAAAAGGAACAGGTTTTTCGAAGTCTGTAGACGCATCGGAGCATGTGAAAGATGCAAATCTCATTGTGAGGCTGATTAATGAGATTATTGAACATGTGGGAGAGGAAAATCTAGTTCAGGTGATCTGATCTATTTTAAATTCTAAACTTGTTGTCTATAGATTAACTTATAGTCATGTATCAATTAATACTAATTTCAGTTTTTTCTCATGTTAAATCTTAGTAGTTCATCACCGATAATGGATCTAACTTCAAGGCAGCGGGAAGGATTTTAGAGGAACAACATCCTAAGATGTTTTGAATCCCCTGTGTTGCACATTGTGTGAACTTGATGTTGCAAGATCTTGGTGATAAGTTTCCCAAGATAAAAAGTGCTTTACGTGAACGTAAACCAATGGTTGTTTATATATATAACCATGGGAGGATATTGAGCCTAATGCGAAAGTTAACAAGCGGGAGAGAGTTGCATAGATCATGTGTAACCAGGTTTGCTACTGTGTTTTACACTCTTAAGAGTGTTTGGGAGAATGGGTGTCATTTGCAAGTTTTATTTGTTTCTGAAAAATGGACCAAAAGTGAATTTGCACAGAAGACTGATGAGAAAAAAATTGCAAGAATAGTGGCAAGGCAGACCTTTTGGGATAATGTTTATTTTACTTGTCAAGTCTTGGCTCCGCTGGTTGATGTCATAAGATTGGTGGATACAGAAGAGAAACCTAGTATCGGTTATATTTATGAATTTATGGATAGATCAAAAGACCAAATTGAAAACAATCTTGGGAATGACCATTTTACTTGTGCAAAAGTATGGCAGACAATTGATAATAGATGGAGTAATAAATTCCATCACGCTTTAATTTGCATTCAGGTACAATCTGTTTTCCATTGTTTTTTTACTGTAATCTTCTTTTGTTGTTTCATAATTTAATAAAATTGTTTATTATGAGTGTTCTTTCCATTTACAATCTATCTTCCATTGTTTTTCATTGTTTTTAAACTGTAATCTTCTTTCTGTTGTTTAACAGTTTAATAAAATTGTTTATTAAGAGTCTTCTTTCCGTTGTTTGATAGTTTTACAATCTATTTTCCATGGTTTTACTGTAATCTTCTTTGCACACATAAATTGTCTTAATAGTTAATAGTACAATTTGACTATTGCAAGTATTTGTAGTTTAATACTTAATTAATATTTAATAATATAGTTTCATTATGAGTCTTGTGCAGCCGGTTATTACCTAAATCCAAGCATATTTTATTAGCATGATCTGGCAAAGATGGAGTCAAACAAAGAGATAAAAATCGGGCTCTTTAAAACAATACAAAAGCTCGTACATCAAGATGCAATTGACAGTATTAGTAGTGAGTTGGTACTAAAAAAAATAAAAAAAAATAAAAAAGTAGTGAGTTGGTACTTTACATATCCGCGAGGGGATCTTTGGGATCAACTATGGCTATGAGAGCTAGGAAAAAGTCTCACCCAGTAAGTTTCCATCTCCACTATTACACTATACTAATTAATTCGTCATCTTTCATTTTTATTTACTTAGTATTATGTAAATTAGTTTAAATTTAATTAATTCAATAATTTGTAGATGAATAACGACTTTCATATGGGTCTGATGTGCCAAATCTCCAAATGTTTGCACTCAAGGTTTTCAGTCAAACCTGTAGTGCCTCACCATGTGAGCGTAATTGGAGTGCCTTTGATCATGTGAGTCATTAAGTATAGTAGTATTGAATATACTTACAGTTACAGAGTATTAACTTATGTATGTACGTGATCCAATAAGGTATTATGCTTAGTGTATTTTTTATGTGTAACATTTTAGATACATTCAAAGAAGAGAAATCGTTTGTTGCAATCAAAGTTAAATGATATTGTCTACATCCGGTACAAAACAAGCTGCAGCAACGATTCTTTGAGAGAAAGCACAATGTTGGCAGTAAGAGTTATGATCCTATATTCTCAAGGGAAGTTGATGAAAATGATGATTGGGTTGTTCCAGATGATGAAGCGCTTCAAGACCTTGTCAATCAGATTAGGTGATGATCTAACTTGAGAACAAGTACGAGCATCACAACAAGCAATTGAGGCAAGGATAAACACAAGGAGTCAAAACAGAAGGGAGAATGTGAATGCATCACAGTCTGCGTATAGACTGCTTGATATTGATTTAAATGACCCGTAACTCCGTAAGTGGAAGAGGAAGAAGAGGTGGGGAATCTGACTATTGAAGATCTATTTGGAGAAGATCTATTTGGGGACATGGAGGATGAAGAAGAAAATCACGGCCTTGAACCCAATGAAGATTAATATCAGACCAACTTATTAGATTATTGACTGCGTTATCACTTTCGCTTTATGACTTTTGCTACTCCATCATTAGGGTAATAGGATTTCTATCCTTTTATTCACTGTTATTCACAAAAAGGTGGAATCTCCCACCCCAGGAACCCCCCACCCCGACCCGACAGGATGGTGGGGAGGTTAGTTACGGTGACTCAGTCAGCAGAATGGCAGCAGGCACATACACCCGTCCTTTTATTCACTTTTAAGATAATTTAAAGACTATTTTAAGACTACTATATTTCCATAATCTTGGAGCTTGGGCACCTATATTATTTCATTTAATTAATACAAGGTCGAGTAATCACCGAGTAATCCCGAGTATTGATGGAGTCGGGCCGGGTCGGGCCCGGGTCGGGCCCGGGCCGGGCCTAGGCCCGGTCGGGCCGCCGGGTTGTATGACATGGGCCCGGGACCGGCCCGAGGGTTGGACGGGTCCAGTTCGGGCCGGGCCACCCGCCCGGGTCACGGGTCGGCTCCGGTTCGGGCCGGTTAATTTTTTTATATATATAATTTATATTTTATAGTTTATAGTTTTATACGAGTTTTAAAAACAAACTTCAATTGCATTTATTTGAAATGAAATAGGAACTACATTTGAAAATTAAAACAAACTTTAAGAGATAAACATTTTGAAAATTGTAATCAATCGGAACTTCCCGCACCTCCCGATCCTTTGGCTTTGTCACATGACTTCATATGCTTGATTGTCATCCCGAATCCGCCTGAAGCCCCCATTCTACATTTTTTCTCGCACCATTTGCAAATTGTGTACCACATCCCGGTCTTCGGGTCCTTCTGCTTATCAAAATTATACCGTATAATGGCATCTTGATTTTCCATCTTAACTTCTTAAGTATAAACTATAAAGTAGATATATAAATAATAAATATAATATATTGGAGAATAAGAGAATTAGAGAGTAGAGAGTTAAGAATAGGATTTAGGAAGAATTGGAGAAGAGATATGAAAAAATGTTTAAGATTAGGAGTATTTATAGGTTTTTTTACCCCCACCCCCCCACCCCCCTTTACCCCACCCAACGGCTATATAGCCGTTTGGGTTGTCCCCAGCCCCACACCCAACGGCCGGGCCGGGTCACATTATTCCAGCACCGAGCCCGCCCCGCCCCTTCCCACCGGTTCGGGCCCATACCCGGTCCCGGACCGCCCGACCGGGCCGGTCCCGGGCCCACACAGTACCGGGCCGGGCCGGTGGCCCGAACCGAATCCAACCCTAATCCCGAGTAATCGGTCCTACTAGCCACTTGGTCTTTGACCGAGTTGCTACCGAGTAGCAACTAGCAAGTAAACTACCTCGTACTATTTATCTCATATACACTGGTATATTTTGAAATATAAAAATAGTTAACTAGTCACTAACCCCATATGAGAAACAAGTCAAACTATCATAGTTTTAAAATTAAAACTACATGTGCTCAAAACTCTTAGACAAAATTGATCCATAAAGATAGAACACATATTCTTTTTATTTCGGAAGCAAACAATACTGGTAAATTACAACAAAAAAAGTAGTAGTTGCAATGAGGACACAATACTCTATTTTTTTTTACCCAATGAAGAAAGTGGGAAACTACCCAAGTCTATGGGATAAATTCGTGAATGACAGGAAACATTTACTTGTTTTATTGGAAAGAGATAGAATTACAGGACAAACCAATAACAAAGGTAAGGGAAAAGCCAAACCAGTAGACATAATCACACACAATACTCTAATTAAAAGACTAAGATTCTAAGAAATATTTCAACTAGAGCACTATAGGCCTATAGGCTATAGCTACTGATTTTCAATGATAACGTCTTTTAAATAGATAGCCTCCATTTGTTTATTCATCTATGAAAACATTGGCGAACTCAAGTACTCATATATCTTTCATATATCTTCCATGAAACGTGTATCCAATTTTTAAAGTAATTATAACAAAATGAAAAACGTTTAATAAATTTCAATACAACCCGGAAAAATACTGCAAAAAAATAGCATGCTATGTTTGCTAAGAAATGAAAAACATTATATGTTTATAGATAGGATATCTTAAAATTAATCTACTTGCTTTTTACATTTTCCAAATCTTATGTTCATACTTGGGACTTTTTTAATTCGACCTGGTCTGGTCTGATAAAACCTAGTCTAGTCATTTAAATCTAATCTAGCTTGTTTGGCCTGGAGTTGTATTTTATGTGTATTTTATAAATGTGATCTGGTAGTCTATTTTGATTTGTTCTATTCTAGTATGATCCGGTCAAGACAAGTCAGGAACTGAAACAAGTGCAATCAAAAATATACTTACTTAAAAGTTAAAACAAGTACATAGTATTGTTTAAAGGTTATAAAGACATTGTGGAAACAAAAAAAACAAAAAACAAATTAAAGGGGCAAAAAATTGTATCTCATAAAAATATAAACAATATTACTAAATATGTGCATCATACGGAATACTCCTTAAAACATTATGATGTTACTTGAAGCAATTGTGGAAACAGCGCTATGTGGCCGCTGTGCATCTAAACGGCCAGTGCCTTGAAAAAACGTGCCAAACAACGCCTGCTCTGGGAAACCCTGGGCCGCTATAATTTTTATCTAAAGGCAAAACTCGTGGGCAGCTTGACTAATAGGAAAAAAACCAGTTGGTGTTATGAGTGCATCTACAAGAACATCATCTGGTGTAACAGGTATGGTATCCAATATCTGCACGGAATATGACAAAGCAACTGCGAAGCAAATACAAAATGTTCATTCTTTCGTCACATTTAAGTACAAACACACACATAAGTGGGGGGTATGGTGACATACCCTTCAGAGGGTGCTTCCACTTTTTCTCTTTCACAAGTTCTTGATATTTTTTCAAGAAAGTGTCATAGTAGCTTCGTCGTTATCATCATAAAAACACATCACAAACAGTTAGAACAAAGAGTACAAACCATTTAGCACCTGTGATTATTTAATTTAGGCTAAATGGTCAAATAAGCCCTCGAACTAACTTAAAAAGTGCAAATCACCCCTACCCTTATATAGGATGCTCTATCAGGCCGTCGCCATTTGGGGTGGTTCCTGGTGGAATTTTTTGATGAAATTTTTTGAGCATATTCTTCATTGAGTCTAGTTTACTCATACCAAATTTCAGCTAAAAATTCAATCAGGAAGGCAGACAAATGAATTTTTGAAGATAATTGTGCAGTTAAACAGCGCAATACATTTCAGTAAATCATTTGACTGTCTTTCCTGTTGAATTTTTATCTGAAATTTGGTATGGGTAAACTAGACTTAATGAAGAAGGTGCTCAAAAAATTTCAACAAAAAATTTGAACGGGAACCGCTCCAAATGGTGACGGCCGGACAGAGCCTCCTATATAAGGGGTGATTTGCACTTTTTAAGTTAGTTCGAGAGCCTATTTGACCCTTTAGCCTTTAATTTATAAATACTCATTTTCACAATGACAAGCATAAAAGAAAAGGATTCCAACGGAAATAGAAACAAACCAGCTGAAATGAATAGCAACTCTTTGAAGTACATATATTGCAGGTTAGCCATCTAAAACTTACCCTCCACCCCTGCCTAAACGTCTTCCAGCTTTATCAAATCCAAGTCCTTCAGCAGGGAAAGCAGAGAAGCATATTAGAAGATAAAGGCGATGTAGCTGAAGCTATCTTCCCGTGAATAAAGAAAGAACTTACCAGGTAAAAGGAGCAAGTCAACAGGTTGATTAGCCAACAACACTGCAAAAAGAGAACTTCATTAGAAAATATGATGATTAAAGCACAGAAAAAATATTCCCAAACACATCAGCTCAGTTGAAGTTGCGATTAAAAGTAAAGTAAAACAAACCAATTCTCCCCCTAAAACCTTGGCATCTTATTTGTTATTAGCCATTTTGAGTTTCTTCAATCATACTACGTATGATATCTTTCTCCATCAAATCAGATACTGAATCATTAGTGTAGTTTCTATACCTGTTCCATGAGCCCCCACCCCACAACAAATAAAATCAATAACTCAATAAAACATATTATGCCTGTTATTGCCATTTTGCCAAAACTATAGCTAATACATCTTACAAATGAAAACAAAGAAGGTGAAAATGTACCATCTTCGCGTTGATTTCCCTCATCATCGATCAGACCCGGTTCCAAAATGTTCATTGAATTCGCTATTAAATCTTGAGTGCTTGAGATGTTCAGCATTCGCATATTTCTGTTACTATCTTCCACACGTGGAACATAGAGCTTCTTTTGATCTGCATAACCCAGTCTTATTCATATTACACAATAGAGAGAATTCCCCAAATAGGAGTAAAACATAGGCAAAATGCAAAAATAGGAGTACCATGTTTTGAATAGGAGTAACTTTAGTGTTTGGACAAGTATACCCCTACCCAAGCCCTAAGCCCCAACAACTTTTAACTAAATATTTAATTCATAATAAATTCGAAAAAAAATCAAAAATTCGTAGAAAAATAATTAAAAATTTATAAAATATTAATAAAATAAAAAATTTAAAAAAAAAGTTTTTTTAAAAATTAATAAAAAATAGTAAAACTTCATAAAAAAATTAAAAAAAATATGGATGTCTTTCCCACCGCCTGTACTACCTTCCTGCACCACCACCTCCGGGTGGTGAAAAAAATTCCATTTTTCCTAAAAACTGCCATTTTTTTTTCTGAAAATGCCAAAAACATGGCATATTTCTCTTTGTGAATGCCAACATTTTCATTAATTTCTGCCATAAATATGGCATTCGTAATGAACTTGGCATTTTTTCCCCTGGTGACTGGAGGTGGTGGTGCAGAGGCGGCAGAGGCGGCGGTGAATTTTATTTTATTTTTTTGAGTTTTTTATTTTTTAAAAAAATATATATTTTTTTATTTTTTGAAAAATAAATAAATAAATAAATAAATTATTATTATCGAATAAGTCATAAATTAACTAGGTTAGGATTAAATAAGTCATATTTTAGAATTAACTAGGTTAGGGATATTAAGGGTACAAAATTAATGTTTACTCCTATTGAAGGAAGTTTTAAGTTATACTCCTATTTATGCAATTATATTTATGTTTACTCCTATATCGGGCAATTTCTATATACAATAACACAACATTTTACTTTGTTAGAGAACGTGCAGAAAATTCACACTAAAAAGAAGAAAAAAAGCATTTGTTTCAGCAGCGAAGAAATCAAGCCCCCAAATCCTTGAAAGGAAAGCATCATATAATTTCTTATGCTATTGCAACCATTTAATGATGTCTGATTAAACTAATAAGTTGAATTGAAAAGCTCAAAAGAGTTAATGAGAGCCTATTATTTGCCTAACCCCTATTTTCGTGTGTCAAGCATCGTAAACCGTCAACGGGAACCTTTTAGCGGGACGGAGGGAATATAATTTTACCATAATTCAGCCACTTCAGCCATAATTGCAGCAAATCTAGACGGAATCAAAATTAGTTTATTAATAACACATTCTGGCAAGTGTTCTAAGAAGCGTTAGGCTATCCCTAGGAAGTAGCTTCTATGTGGGCTTAGGCGGTGATCAATCAGGTCCTGGCGAGGCTGAATAAAGAAGTTGTACAGAATACAGATTACTGAGACCTATAATCTATCTGAGCTTGGATGGTTTTTCAGAACAGTTATTCTACAAAAATATCTATGCCATTAAGTTGTTCCATTTCTATTTCAGAAATTAAGAGAGCGACAGTGAGGACTATGATGCAATTTCTTCGTAGAATAATATAAAAAACACACCTTTCCTCTGAGACTGAAGAATTTCTGACAGTATCGTTGAAGTATCAACTTCTCTAAGAGCGCTACAGCTGATATAAGCACAAAGCCTCTTACAATCTCTGAACCAAGGAGCTTTAAGTATTGCGTTCTGTATTTCTTCATCTGGAAACAGAACACAAATTAACCAATAAACAAACAGATTCAGTTAAGCGCGCGTGCAAGTCATAATATACCTTCTTGGGACCTGAGGGAGGGATCCATGGACTTTAGATCTCTTTTGAGTTTGGATCGAAGGGCCTTCTTCTGAGCGAAGACCGCGTCTAAATCGGCGGCGCTTGAGCTCGGATTGGTGGTCATGGCCGCTCGAGTGCAGCAATGTTGTGGTCGGAATAGGATGGTGGTGGTGGCGGTGGAGAATAATACCGGAGCGGATGGGATTGCAGCTTTTGAGCATATGCTTGGCAACCGACCTTTGAGTGGTGCTGCAATCGTACGGCACATTTTTCACCATTTCAATTCGGCCAAGAATGTTCCATCTAATAAAAAAGGAATTTTAAGTAATCTATATATATAGTAAAACAGAAAAGTGTGGGGGAGATTTGAGCGGGATTTTGAGCGGGAATGGCATCTCCGGATGATATTTGTCTGTTTAATTATGTTCTACATTATATTCACAATAAATGCATTAAATATTGTGTCTGGCTGTTTAACTTCTCAATGAGAGGCGAGTTACAGACCTAGGCGGCGCAGGTTCTGAGAGGCGAGTGCTTTTTCACGCTTTTAGGCGCCTTTTGAGGTTCCGAGAGGCGAGCGCCTTTCACGCCTCAGTCTTCTCCTTCCTTTCGCCGCCTTCTGCGTTTGGTTAGTCTTGCGTAGCTGTTTGAGTGTTCCGCTTTTCTTTCACTGCACAGAGGTAAGACTGTTTACGTTTTCTTTTATTCTCTTTTATTCTCTTTTGCGTAGCTCTTTTATTCTCTTTCGCTGCTCTTTTATTTTCTTTTATTCTCTTTTCTTACGTTTTTTTTCTCTTTTGCTATTTGGCTGCTATCTCGCGTCGCAGAAGCTGTTTATCCCCTGCTATTTATTCTCTTTTATTTTAAGTTGTTATTTTTATAAAAATATTAAAATTATTTAAATAAAAAGTTAGATAACTGATACGTACTATTATCTTGCGCTATTTATAAGGTTTGATAGATAACTGAAAAAAAGTTATGTCTTTTAAGTTTGTAAGTTTTTTAAGTATTTTAAGTTTTTTAATTTATAAAATTATTTAAATTATTTAAATTTACAAATCTGTCTGTAATTAATTTTACAGAATTGTATTTGTGTTATAGTCTATTAATTACCTTATGGTTCTTGTATGCTGTGTATGAATTGAAGTAGTTTTGAGAAGAGTGCTTCATGTAGAAGTACTAAAAATATATTTCACCAAAGAAATGTGGCTGAGATCCGTGAGGCGCGCGCCTCACCGCCTAGCGCCTCGCGCCTCGGGTAAATCAAAGAAATCGCCTCAACGCGTCTCGTGCCTTTTAAAACTAAGATTCCAATGTTGGAATACTTACGATGTAGTGCACTGTATTTAAAAGAACACTTACGAAACACGTTCTACATAGTATTTAATAATAGAGTATAAAACGGCGGCTGGCTATATTTGTTACTACCAATGCATGTAAATAATTTGAAGCGTCCAATACATTGTTGATTACTATCACAGGTAAAGTCCTAACACGTCTACATCAATTTGACTCTTGGGATTCCAATGAGTTACATTAATTGCATTGTAAATAATTTAAATAGTAATGCATCAATAAAAAATGTGGGTTATACAAACGGCCGAGACTTTTAATGTGGCTCCAATTTCCACCAATTTCCACTATAAATAGAGACCTTGGCATCACTCCAGCCCACCATAGCAAGTAGCAAACCAGGCATCATTCCAGTTCAACATTTGCGTAGAAATGGCTGCAATGTTCGGTTTGATTAGGGATATATGTTCTCAGTCAACAACATGGGGTTTAAGGTTACGGCTGGTGCGCATGTACTATACGCGAAGTGAAGAAGGTGAAATAAGGAGTCTTGAGTGTGTGTTCCATGACAAAGAGGTAGGTGTTTATTGTATTTGTTAGCTTAAACTATTCGTTAATAATTTAGGCGTGTTCTTTAATTCGACCAAGGCTTTGCATTTTTCACTAAATTAGTTTTGTTTTCAGTTATGAAAACTAAAAAGGAACTTTTATGCGATTAAAAGTGTTATAACCATTTTAACCATTTAAAAGTGGGTATTAGTAGTAGAGTGTTTTAGGATACTGAGGTCATTTTCAATGAGGTGCAACATGTTTTGTGGCTTTGAAAAATACCCATTTTAAAATATGGCCATACATAACATGTGCAAATAAATGTTTGACTCTTGGGATACGTTTATTGTTTCTAATGTTTATTGTTAGTTTTAATCTTAATGCTTAATATAGTATGTACAGAGTAGTATTTAAATAATGCTTAATACGTCCTCCCTCAGTCCCAAATTGTAAGATACATTTACTATTTTCTTGGTCAACATAAATCACTCTTAATCTTTTACTTTATATATCAAAAGTTTATGAAATTTGAACTTGGAATAAAAATTCATAAATATGACTTTTAGCATATATATATATATATATATATATATATATATATATATATATATAAATAATAACATGGAATCGGTGCTCGAACTCCCGATTTTAATTCTAAGATTCTAAGATATAGAATTAAACTTGGAATCGGTTTATGAGCAACATGTTTTGTGGCTTTTCATTTTAAAATATGTTCGTATATACAATCTGCAGGTTCCACATTGCCTAGGGAACCAAAAGTTGTGCCTTTTGGAATGTTAAATAAAAATAAATATGCCTTTGGATTTCCTAGGCAATGTGGGGTGGCGGCTGATTTAAAATAGGCACTTGAACTCATAGAGTTGTGCCTTTTGGAATGCTAAATATAAATATGCCTTTTGGATTTCCCAGGCAATGTGGAGTGGCGGCTGATTTAAAATAGACACTTGAACTTATCCAAAAACGGCTCATTAAATTTCAAAAGGCATTTAAACTAAAAAGCTTATATATACCACACATTACACATGCCAAAGGACCTTAATCTACTCCCTAAAATTCTATTCCCTACAACTCCCCATCTTGAAAGGTTGAAATGACATGCTGGATTGACACCTACGATCGTGATGCTCGGTGTTACATGTGCAACAAAATGTGCTGGAATTGGCTCATGTGGAAATGTGTATTATGCAGAGGGAACACAAGTCATTATTGGTGTATGAAGGAGGTAAGCAAGTGTAAAGAGGGAAAATTTTTATGCAAAGAATGTGTTGCCATGCTTGAAGCTGACCCTATACTGCCAAGGCGTTCTACTCGAATGATAAAGAAAAACAAAAAGTACTTCAATGATGATGTGAAAGTATGAATGTGTTTTGATTGGATAAAAAATAAAGATGTTTTGTAGTTATACCATATTTTAGAAGCTTATGTTTTGAAATGAAATAGCTTCGAAGTAGTTTTGTTGTTTTGTTATGTTTCGAAAACTATTAAAATTTATCTGCCAATGCATATTTGTTAAATTGTTTCCGGTTATATTGTTGGAATAAAATAAGGTTAAAAAGGAATCAAACTATTTATCATTATTGGGAGATAAATTTTAGGGTACAGGTGTCATGTTTTTGAACTTTTAAATAAAAACTCCTATATAGTGGCGTCAAAGAAATGTTTACTATAAACGGAACCTAGAAGTTAGATATCATGGGATGAAGATTGCAAAGCTAAACCGGACAGAGACCAACTGTATAGATAAGGATAGCAGTAAAAACAGTAACTTTGCGTGTGTAATTGTTTGCAGATTCCTATAGACTATAACAACGTTAAATCTTGTGTACAGATTCAACAAAATCACATTAAGGCTTGGAAATTAAAAAAAATAAGATAAGGATAGCAAGCTGAACCAGTAAAAACAGTAACTTTGCACATTCCATTTTTGTAAAAACATCAACTTGCTTCTATTTGATTCTCTTTGTGTGTGTAATTGTGTATACCTGCCTAACTTTCAAAGCAAAATTGGAATGAGGCGAGTAAAATTAAAAAAAACAATTAAATTAATGTAAAACGCAGTTCAATTCAACATATGTTGATTATATATATATATATATATATATATATATATATATATATATATATATATATATATATATTATATATATACACACAATTAATGCAACCTAAATTATAATGAATTTGACAAAAAATTGTATTACCAATAGTGATACTAATTTAATTCCACAAATAATTATATAAGATATTGTTAATAAAAAAACAAACATTCTGGATAAGGGATTAATAATTAAAACAGAGTAAATTCTGGATTAACCTAAGGATAGATGTTGATTTATGCTTCAATTTTTTAAAAAAAAAATATGCTCCTATTAGCGGTTGACCTAATTAAAATGATTACAATGGGAATTACAGATAAACGGGCATGCATATATAAGAGAATCACATTGGCGTAATTTACAAACCATATAGAAAAACACTTATCTAACAATAGTAGTTTGGATCCTAACCTTGAAACACTGATCGGCCAACATAGAAGCCGCCTGATAGCTCGAAAACAATGATCGGTTGTGGTGGAGTTTGTGGATATGTGGCAGCGTGTTTCGAAAGTTGTGTTGGTGGTTTCGTTGTAGATCTGCGTAAGCTTTTGGAGTTAGCGGCGAAGAAGAAAGATGGGGATCTGGAGGTTGAGTTTCCGATCGGCGTAAGGTTTTGCAGGAAGCGGCGAAAGAAAAATGGAAGGTGGGGATCTGGAATGATTGCCGATGGGGGGGCTTGTGTGTTTGGAAATTGGGTTCTGGGCTATTAGAGCAAGGACTGGATTGGGCTAGGTTCTGGACTGTTGGCATCTGGATTTATATATTAGGTATATACGTAGTATATAATATTTGTTTACCTAAATCTTATTATATTTATTAAAATTCAGATAACAAAAATGTTTAAAAAAGTTATGCTTATAAAAATAAGATATAAATAAAGGTAGATTCTATGGTACCCTTAAGGTACTGTACCTTTGTCCACATGGACCAATCAGTATGATATAGTTGAATTATTTAAATCTAAATTAAAAATGATGTAATGATTTGAACCAATCAAGTGAATGTCAGGTACAGTGCCCCATTTTTTAAATGGGTACCGGAGTTGTCACCATAAATAAATTCATATTAAAAAGTTTGTAGTTATATTGTTGTTAAAATACAAACTTTTCTCATGTAGTTCCATAATTTTGCTTAAAATTGAAAGAGAATATAGGTTTACTATGTATTGTAAATAGTAGATACACTTATTACAAACAGAAAAAGATATGTTATGACAATAAATAAGAGTGTCAAGGACAATCATTGTCCAATGTTGGATTAGTCTTGAAAAAACCCGTTTTTAGTCATGGTCAGTTATATGTTCCGCTTTCACGTGTAACTAATCATGCGGGTTTGAAAATACCTATATGTGATGTAGATGGCAAAAGTACTAATGTAACAACTAATGTTGTATTTAAGGAAGTATTCCGAAATTTGTAAGACATTTTGTTCTCAAATTGTTATTATTCCGAAATTTTCAACATTCGTTCTTTTCATTTATATATTTATATTGGTAATAGTAAACATGCTACTCTGATATATTCATCTAAAGTTAATTTATGTATTAATTTTATATTTCAAATATTTAATTTTTATCTTAGCCATATATTGTTGCATATGATTATTTCATGATCATCGCACAGGTAGAATACTAGTTATTATTGATCACATAAAATGTGAAAATCGTAATTCTTACGAATATTTTTATTTGGATCCAAATTTGTTGCAAATTATAAGGTACACTCAGATATACATGTACATTCAATATTTTTGTAATTTTTACAAGTTTGAGGCTGATTATTAGAGTTTTTTCCCGAAAAATGGTACTTTCAAATCTTATTTCTCAAACTAAGGTACTTTTAAACTAATTTTCCAAACAGGGGTATTTTTTCCCTGTCATCACGCCATGTCAACACCCAAAAATTTCCATTTCCACATCATTGACCCGCCACATCATATCTCATCATATAGACTAACTTATACTCCGTGTAAAACAAAATTGTGTCTGGTGGGAATCGAACTCACGCCCTACCATTAGGAAATCTGCATCTTGGAACGTTGCACCACACTAGTTGCTTGTAACAATGTCGTATTTAAGTCTACTTCTAGTCATATAATTCCACGCGTGTTTAATTAAAGAAAGAATGGCCCAAATATTACTAATGGAGTTTCAGAGGACAAAAATATGACTACTTTTTGTTTGGACAAAAAATTGATTTAAATAAAATCACCTCCTCCCTCCCCAACCCGTCATTCGTCCCACATTGCATCCTTCTCTCTTCTTCCTTGAGATCGGGTGCTCCATGCTCTGCCTAAATTCAGCGCACCTCGCCGCTAGCGTCGCGCCTCGCCATCGTGCCTCTACTCGGATGTCATCTTCTTCTGCTTTCTTCTTCCCGAAATCCACAAATCTGGGTGTTGTGCAAATCCAATTTTTTCCTTTCCAGAATCTGCAGATCTGATGGCGTCCTTATAGATGCGGTAGGCTACGGGTTGTAGGAGGTCGGGGCAGAAAGAAACGGTTGGTGGGGGTAGGGCAAAGTTGGTGGGGTTGGGGGAGGGTTGTGCGATTGGTGGAGGTTAAAAGGTGATTGTGTAAAGGCTGGGGGCTGCTATGAGGGGTCGGAGCTACTGTGGGAGTGGGGGATGTTGGTTGAGGGTTGGGGTGACGCAAGGGAGGAGGTCGAGGTTTGGTGGTCGGAGCTGGTAGTCGCCGGTGGTGGCCGGAGGTGGTGGTGGATTGGTTGAAAAACACTTGTGCACACATGCTCCCACTTGTGTAAACCATGCTCCAACATTAAATGTTGTCTGCCACTTGCACGTGACCCTCATCGGTACTAAGAGGTGCTTAGCCGCCATTAATCCAGAAGAACACCGGTTATCCAAGTGTTCATTACACCCCGTTCGGGATGTGCCGAACGGATGTCTTCTTTAGTTACCAAACTCTCGTTCGAGGGCCCGCTGGTTCTCCTTGGGCTTTCCCCTGCTCTTGGGCCTTAGAGATATTTTGGGCTGTTATATTGGGTCGGATCCTAATATCCCATCAATAATGATGATAATAATAATGATAATAATAATAATAATAATAACAATAATAATAATAATAATAGTAATAACAATAACAATACAAATAATAATAATTTAATAATAATATGGAGGAGCCTATAGTTTTAATTAGATATGTGATAGAGTATATCTCTCGAGAGAAGTGAGAGCTAGAGAGAGAAGTAGTATATTTGCTTGATGTTAATGAATTCTGAACCCCTACAACTACTCCCAAGGGGAGTATTTATAGAGAAAATACGGGCTGGGCTCCCAAGCATTGGGCTTGGGAGGCCCATATACAACTGGACCGCTACTGGGCCGAATACAAAGCCACTAATGGGCTGTACAAATGAATAAGTATAAAATCCGGTTCTGTGAGGTCTTCATGGCCGACGAGGGCGTGGCCGACGAGGGCACAGCCGACGGGGGCGCGGCCGACGAGGACACCCGGGTTTCTTGGCTTCAGGACCATAATCTGAGTTGGCACCTTCTCGGCCGACGGGGGCGTCTTCGGCCGACGAGGGCGCCACTCTGTGTCTTGTGCTTTCTGTTCTTCCGAGTATGTGGGTCCAGGGGCTCAGACCCATATACTCCATCAGGAGTCCCCCACTCTCTAAGCTGAGACGTAGACGAAGTGAAGGAGAGTAGATTCCCGTGTTTTAGCGTTTTTGGCCGATGCGGGCATCCCCGGGTCGTTAGCCGTTGCGGCGTTGGCGTTGTTTCCTCTTTGGTGTGTTCATTCGAGGACGATGAGTCTCCCGCTTCGATGGTGGCCGTTGAAGGCACGCTTTCCTTTTCATGGGCATTGATGGTTGAAGTTTGGGCCGATGAGGCTGTTGAGGTTGTTCCTTGCTCTGAGGACGATGGCGTCCTTTCCTTTGGGTGGCCGATGGGGGTGGTTGCGCACTCCTTTTGGCCGTCGTTGATTAGCTTTCATGTTTCTGGCCGAAGAGCCCCTCGTGATTAAGTGATGGCGAAGGACGATGAGCGTCCTTGCCTTTGGTGGCCCGTTGGCCGTTGCAGATGGCGTTGTGTGCCTTCGGTCGACGAGGTGCAGTGTGACGCATGGCCGATGTGGCCATGCTCTGTGGTTACCTTGTTTGCATTCTCTTTTGTTTTGTTGAGGCCGGTGTAGTCCCCCAGTCCCCCACTTCTTCAGGCCGAAGAGTGTGAGGGGTGAAGGAGTTGCCTGAGTCCCAGGCCGAGGCGGCCTCTCCGTAGTGCCCCTGAATCCAACCCTTATGGCGATTTTCTGGCCAAGGTAACCCTGTGGGAGAACCCTTGTGCGCAGATCGCTTGTAAAGAGTTATCATCAAGGGCCGTTACGAGGAGCCGACGACTGTGGGTTTTTGTTCCTTTGGTCCTGTGGCCGTTCATTACGTTCCTGGCCGTTGTCATCTCCCTATCGTTGGCGCTTGTGAATTTGGTATGTGAATAGGCCGGTGTGGGCGCTTGCTGGCACTTGTGAAGCCGGCAAGCGTAGAGGCCGTAGAGTCTGTTTTGCTGGTGGGCTCTTGATGTTTTGCTTGGCCCGTTGTTGACGTGGCGGCCTCTCATTGGTGGCCGTTGACGTGGCCATTGGGAGGGTGCTACGTGTAGTGACCGTTGGGTGGGGGGTTCTATAAATACCCCTCTCCCTCCGACGAGAAAACTCATTTGCTTTCTGAGTGTTGTCGAAGTGCTGCCCGGATTTCTAGAGAGATAAACTCTGAAGCTTGTTCTTCGTGTTCTTCGTTTGTTCAAGGTTAGTGTTCATCGAAATCATCTCTGTACTTTGCATGTTTTGCTTCCTAGGCTAGTGATCTAGTGTTAGGCCCTTGAGTATCCTTAGATCTTGAAGTAGGCTGCAGTATATTCGAGATAGTGTTTAAGATGAAAAACCTCAACGAGGAGTACTATCCTTATGACGACGAGCCCTCTGCCCAGTCCCTTGATTATGACCTTCTCGAGGAGTTCTGTGAAGAGATTGAGAATCTGAGCTCGTTCCGTACCGGGGAGCCGGCCGAAGAGGACCATGCGGACGAGGGGTCTGCGTCATCGTCTGGTGGTGAGGACGCGGGGGTCTCTCGAACTGCTGATGGGGCATCCACGTCGGCTGCCATCCCCTGCCCTAAACCTGTGTCTGCTGTGAAGGGCGTTGCACCGCCGAGGAGGGTTAGGAGGCCGAAGAGAGGGCCAGCCTTTTCTCACCTTGATTTGACGAACATCTATGTCATCAGGCCGCAGAGTAATGCGGGGGAATACTTGGTCGCCCAAATGTATGTGGGGCCGTACGGCAGGGTTAGGGCCCCCAGGCCGACGGACCATGTCCTCAATCCCCCCCGGGCTACTTCGGAGTGTACCCGATGAGCTTTGCTAAAGGGCTTAGGTTTCCGCTTCATCCTTTTATCACTGAGTACCTGGATATGGTGGGGCTCCCTCCGGCCTTGTTGACGCCGAATAGCTACTCCCTCATCGTCGGCTTCATCCTGCGGTGTGCTGAATTGGACTTCAGGCCGACGACTGCGCTGTTTATGAACTTGTATCAGATAGGCCGTGGGAGTCATCAGAACTGTGCGTCGTATGCCACCCTTCAACAACTTCCCAAGAAGAGGAGTTTCACAGACCTGCCGACGTCCATCCATGGGTGGAAAGGGAAGTTTGTGTTCGTGTCTCTGGGCGAGGGGGGCACAGAGTTTCCCTCCGTCGGCCACACAGGCCGTTTTAATCTTCATGATGCGCCGAGGAGCTCCATCCTGGACGCTCAAGTTGAGGCCTTCCTGGAGGGGGGGCCGAGGAGTGTGAAGACATATATTACCGAGTACAAGATGGCCGCCCTCGGCTTTGTACGGTATTTTGTGTATGGTGATCTCGACGATGATGTGGAGTTGTGGCCGAAGATGACCACGTCCTATGAGGAGGTTGATGGTCCCGATCTGGGGGTGCCAGCTGAGGCCGATGGTAAGTCCCTTCTGACGTGCTTCCTTGTCGTACTTTCGTATTTTGCTTTCTAACCCTTGGTGTTTTTTTTTTTGTGATGCAGGTTTTGTGATGGACCGCATGTCGTTCATGAAGAGGGCCCAACTCAAAGCGGCCGAGGAGCTGAAGGCCCAACAACCTGGGGCTACTGCTGCGGCCAAGCCGTCGGTGCAGCCGAAGAAGAAGAGGCAGGCCGAAGAGGGCCAGAAGAAGTTGACGGAGGTGGGAATGAAGCCTCCCAAGAAGTCAAAGAGGGCTTCTTCTGCCGGCGATGCTGGGACGTCGGCTGTTCCTTCTGGGGACGGAGAGGGTTCAAATCCTGATGCTATGGTGGACCACCCTTCAGGCCCGTCGTCCACCACTCTTTCCACTATTCCTGCTCCCTCAACGGCCTCCCGGAAGAAAGGGTCCGGCCGAGAGCTGGTCAGAGGGACCTATAAGCTCGAGGTAGAGTACCCCGTTAAAGGGGGGCTGTTCAATGAAATCGTTGACGGCCACGAGGTGATTTCTCAGGCCATCCCTGATGAAGACCGGGCTTATCTGAAGAAGCTCGGCCACGTGAAGATGTACGATGGTGGGATGGACCACGTCGTCCAAGTGAGTAACCGTGCACGCTTCGTCTTACTTTCTTCGCCGTTTTTTGTTGCAAAGTTGTCTAACTTATTTTTACTGCAGGGTGCCTTCATGTTGATGGAGAACAACAGGAGGCAACAAAAGGAGATTGCCCGTCTGAGGCAATTTGAGCAGAAGGTTGCCTCAGCCGATGAGGCGCTAGGCAGCTTAGAGAGGCTGCGTCTTGAGGTTGAGGGCCTTAAGAAGAGGGCCGACGAGGCCGACCAGTTGGCCGCTGAGAAGGAGGGGGCTCTCCAGCGCTTGGCCGACGTGGAGCGTGCCCGCGACGAGGCCTTTCAGCGCGCCGAGGAGGCCGAGAAGGGCAAGGCTAGTGCAGAGTTGGCTCTCGTCACTGCCGAGGAGAAAGCCGCTGATGCCGCTGTGCAGAAGTTTATTGAAGTCGGTTGGAAGGACGAGGGCCGGCTTCCATTCTGTTTTGAGGTCGTGGTGGCCAGACTCGTTGACTGGGTGAACCAATCCCCCGACGGCCAGGCCTATTGGGAGAAGGAGATGAAGGCCTTTTATGACCTTGGTCAATACCGGATGCAACGGTTGTTGTACAGGAGGCTGCAACGGCGTTTCATGGATATCGGTGTGTCCAAAGAGTGGGCCGTCGGCCTCGAGTTGCCTCCTTTGATGAAGCATCCTGAGGCAGAGTTGGAGCTTCCGGTGGCCGAGCGGCAGCTCCCTATTGAGAGCTCATGCATCAGCGATGACTGGGCGTATGAGCGGAGCATGTTCGAAGATACTGCCACGTCGGCTGCCCCTGCCGGTACATCTGTTGTCACGGCCGAGGGGGGTCCTGAGGCCGAGAAAGACTCTGAAGCCCCTCCAGAGGTCTGATCCTTTGTAGTTTTATCTTTCTTTGTGCTATGTAATGGCCTAGAAGCCCTCCTTGTACTCAATTTATATTGAATGGAAATGTTTTCGTAGTACTTGCTGTCTGCGTCGTCGTCTCGTTTACTGTTATGTCTAAGTACTTTGGAGTTTAGGACTTAGGAAAATCTACCAAGTATCGGAACCTCGAGTGGGTGGGTGTTCTCATCGTCTTGATGTGACACCCCCTTTGCACTGTTAATCATGTGTTCTAAGAGATTTCCTAAGTGTTGAGCCGACGTGGACGTTGTCAGCCCAGTGTCCTTTGTGGCCGTTGTGTCCCCTTGTTTTTGATCTGATCAGGGTGGTCGGCTTGGGTCCATGTGTTGTGGCCGGTAAGGGCGCGCAGGTTGCTGTCTTTACGGCCAGGTGGCTTGATCGGCCTGGTTGTCGTTTCTCCACTATTATAACACTTAGGATTTTTTTTCAAAAAATTCCTAAGTGTTTTGGATCCACTTAGGTGCTCTCCTTTCGGCCTTGACCGCGGTGTACGCTCCGTCCTGGCGTTGTCCCGTTCTTCTTCTTTTTGTTAGAATTTTTCTTAAGCGTCTAACTTCAAGTGGAAAAGGTGTTCCCATCGTCCTGGCGGTGGATTTCTCATTGTTGACAAATGCTTTGGGAGATTTCCCAAGTGTTTGAACCAGTGTTGTTGTCGGCCTGCATCCTTTTGTTGTGGCCGATAAGGGCACCTTCACCTTGATCTTTTGAATTTTAAAGTTCTCCAAGTACACATGCATAGGTGTAAGTAGCTAACGGCCTTGGAGTATACTGGTACCCGTTTCGTCCTGGTCATCCTCAGGATTGTGATTCTTTGTTTCATACCAAGCGGTGGTGCCTCAAAGGACTATGGCCGATGAAGGTCACCTCTCGCGCGTCACCCAACCGATGCGGTTAGGGTTTTATAGGCGTTTACTTCGGCCTTGATTATTCCCTTGTAGTGTGTGGACGTGTCGTCCATGTTACCTATCAGTGGTACTACACTTGTGTTCAACTGATATGTACTTGGCCTAGTTGGGCCTGAGTTGTGGGGATTTTATTTTTTCATTGCTCGAGGCCGGCTAGTGTGCGCGGCCGTCGGCTTCCCTCTTTTTCCCTTAAATTTTTTGTTTTTTTTTTACGTTTCGTCGGCCATACCTGAGCGTTTCACTTCTAGGCTTACGGGGCCAGGACGATGTGCTCTCTCAGCTAGGCCTGAGCCCTTCGCTGATACAAAATACAATGGAGTGCCTGAGCTTGTCGCTCGTAGGCTGCAAAATGCAAGGGGCCACGTCGGCCATACCTGAGCGTTTCGCTCTAAGGTGGCCGACGGGGGCACCTGCTAATGTTTTACTTTGAATTTCCAGAGAAAAAATCAGAACATGATTTTATTCATAAGTGGCTCGAGGCCGAGGGTGGCGTTCAATCAGTAACCCATTAAGGGGCGAGGGCTTCGCCGTCTACACCTCCTTCGGATTACTGATAAAACTTCACCAGATGGTGTACATTCCATGTTCGTGGTACATTGGACCCATTCGGGCGTTTAAGCTTGTAGGTGCCGGGTTTGACCACGGCACTGACGACGTAGGGCCCTTCGTACTTTAATGCTAGCTTGCCACCCTCTGTCGGCTGGCTTGCTTCCCTTCGGCGGAGGACGTAGTCCCCCACCTGAAATTCCCGGGAACGTACCTTGGCGTCATAGTATGATTTTACTTGACGCCGGTAGTTCTCTGCTCGGACGTAAGCTTGCTCACGCCTCTCATCGACCAAGTGCAGGTCAATCTTCATGCTTTCCTCATTGGCGTCAGGCTCGTATTGTTCCACCCTTCGGCTGGGGATGGCAACTTCCGTGGGCGCCTTTGCCTCGAAGCCGTAGCATAGGGCGAAAGGCGTTTCACCTGTCGCCCTCCTCGGCGTGGTTCTGTAGCACCACAGGATGTTGGGGAGCTCGTCGACCCAACTACCTCCTGCGGCCTGGAGTTTCTTCTTCAGCCCCTCCATAATTGTTCTGTTGGTGTTCTCGACCTGCCCGTTGCCCTGAGGGTAGGCAACGGAGGAGAAACGATGCTTTACCCCAAACTCCCGGAGGAGTTCTTGGAAAGGGGCTGCCTCAAATTGGGTGCCGTTGTCTGATATGATCTCCTGGGGGACGCCAAAGCGTGTGATGATGTTCTTGTAAACAAATTTTTGGCATCTGGCCCCCGTGATGCTGGCCAAGGGTTCCGCCTCGACCCACTTGGTGAAGTAATCGACGGCGACGATGATGTAGCGGTTATTCCCGACGGCTCTGGGCAGGGGGCCGACCAGGTCAATCCCCCATCTGGAGAATGGAATTGCGGTGCTGACAGGGGCATAGTTGACAGCTGGCCGACCAGGGGCCTTCTGGAGTACCTGGCATGTGGTGCACTTCCTGGCCAGGTCAGCGCAGTCGCGTGCCATCGTCGGCCAGAAGAAGCCCTGGACGACGAGACGCCGGGACATGCTGAAAGGGCCCTGGTGTGAGGAGCAGACGCCACAATGAACTTCTTCCATGGCTGTGTCGGCCTCGTCCTGGTGCAGGCATCGGAGGAGAGTGCCATTATAGGACCGTTTGTAGAGTTTGCCATCTTCGATGGTGTAGCTTGGGGCCCTGAGTTTGGCAAGTTTGGCCCTCTCCTCGTCCGGGGGCAGCTCCCCTGTTGTGATGAAGGCGGCGATGTCGGAGATCCAGTCCTCGGGTCGCTGTTGGACGCACAAGACGGGGCTGGCATGGATGCTGGACATGCTCAACTCCTCGATCTTGGCCAACTGGGAGATGTGCTCCGGGGTGTCCGAGCTGAGCTTGGAGAGGATGTCGGCTTCGGCGTTCTCGGCCCTGGGGATCTGAGTGATCTCGTGGGTTTCAAACGCTTTCAGCAACTCCTCCGCCGCTTGTCTATAGTGCTTCATCCGGCCTTCCTTTGCTTCGTACGATCCCTCCACCTGGCCCACCACCAGTTTGGAGTTGCACTTGATTTTGAGGTGCTTGGCCTTGAGGCCGACGGCGAGTCTGAGACCGCTGAGGAGGGCCTCATACTCGGCTTCGTTGTTGGATACCCTGAAGTTGAAGCGGATGGCATAGTAAGCTCTGAATCCTTCAGGGGATATGAGGACGACACCGCCGCCGCATGATCTCGCGGCCGACGAGCCGTCAGTGAACAAAGTCCATGTATCGTCTTGCTCCGGCCCGGGGTTGGCGACGGCCGTCTCCATTGCTGTGCATTCGATGACGAAGTCGGCCAAGGCTTGCCCCTTGATGGATGGCCTTGGCTTGATCTCTATTTGGAACTGGCTGAGGAAGATCGCCCATTTCACCATCCTTGAGGAGCTGGTGGGGCTCCTCATGAGTGCGCCGAGAGGCTGTTGGGTC